CATGAAATGTCTCAGGAATGGAAGGACGAATGAATAGCTGAGTGAATAAAGCAGGAGAATCGCACATTTACAGATATTTTATGTGATCTCTTTTCAGTGGAAACTGACTAAGACTTATTAATAAAAATCCATTCTGATTTTGCAGTAACACTCCAGGGAACAAATTTACTATGATTAGGCAACTTCTTAAAATGATGTTTCTTTCTTTCATCATTAGCTAGTCTAAGCTGCAAGAGTGAATAATTTTTTTTTTAAAAAGAACCAGTTATTTGCAGCATAGGTTGCTAGCTACTGTAACCTAAGACCAGGTCTGTGTGCAATGTCAATTTAGCTTACTGTTTGCATGAGGGTTCCAGCTGGACTGTGTCCTTTATTGCGTGAGTCAATTGTCAGACTGACCAGGTGGTGTAGACTCTTGGTTTTGCCCTTCAGCATGTCCTTGAGAACCAGGAAAGTTTGCTAGGTCTCCCATCTCATTGTGTCACTCCAGGTCAACAGCAGGAGTCACTGGGGTTGAACTCCAAAAGTATGACAACTCAAGGTCTTGCTTTGGATTGGAATTTGTAGAGCAGACTAGAATGTCATCTGTATGCTACTTGGTCTGCCACCTTCACTAGTTCATGGACTGGGGCCTGGAAAAGTGGGGACTTCTGTCACTGAATCTGTGAATTCCTTCCTCAGGAGTGGGTGAAGCAAGCCTCAGAATGCAGGGGTGTAGGCATGTCCTTGCTGTCTGGAGCAGTTGCAGAGCTGTGCCTCCCACTGGGAAAGCTATCAGAAGTACTCCCCTGGGGCCAGCCTTTAGTATTGATTTCAGCCCTAAAGGTCACAGACTTAAGGAACCAAAATTTCCCCCTGGGCACTGCAACTGCTAAGGGGAGGGACCCATGTCCATGTGAGTGAATCAGTTGTGCCCATTGCTAGTTAAAGGTCATGGTGGTTAAGTCTACAAAAAGTTTTGAGGTCTACCCTGTCCTAAGTAATTTCCCATGTTTTCTTCTTCCTCTTTAATTATCATTTTGTCTCTGCCATTTCTTTTCACCTCCAAACTTCTTGAGAGAGAAGTCTCTATAACTCATTATGGTCTGTCCTCTACCTTCCCAAGTCTACTAAAACTCCTCCTAAATCCAAGTGGTTGAGCTTGGTCATTTGGAAGTACTTGATGGCCACTCTAATTCTGGAAACACACGTTTCTTCCCTAAGCCATAAGATGCTGGCTCTCGCATTTCTCCTCCTCCCATCTCTGGCCATCTTTCTTAATCTGCCTTGCCAGTCCTTTCTCTTTCTTTCCCACCCTGATACGCTGTTGTTCTGTAAGGCCTCTCGATTTCTGGTTGTACACACGTTCTAGGATGGAGCACACATGCCATTAAGTTTCAACAACAATGTATGTGCTTCATGTCTTGAGCATCAGAAGGGCACCAGTCAACCTGCACTGGAGTTGTGCTCCCTGCCACTGTATCAGCAGAGGTGTCCACTGGTCTGGATCACTGGAGCCGTCCCCTATCTGTACCGGCCCCCACCCCAGCTTTCTCTCCCCCTCCCACAGTTGTTGCTAGCAGAGACAAAGTTGTCCTCTGCACAGGACAACTATTTCTCTGCACCACACTGTCTCGCTGGAAAGCACACATCTAAATTAATAATCTAGAGTTTGACTGTGATTTAAGACCAAAGGGCACGGAAACTTAATTTAAAGCAAGCAGTCCAAATATTTACTTTGCTTTGAGTTCATTAAGTGCTCACCTTTATGGCATGTTTGTATTTCTGTAACACAGCTATACTCTCAACACTAATTAATTGCTTTAGAATTTAGGGAAAAATGAAGAGTGCATTTTTAAAAATGGATTTTAAAAAAAGATGCTGTAATTTGGTGTTTTTATGGGTCACTGTTACACTTCTTATGTGCTTCTGTAATGGTACTTTTCAAAGTTGAGTGTACCTTCTTTTTACTGTTATTGTTGCACTGGGGGTACAGAGTGACATTTACCAGAGTTCTTGCAATAGAAGCTTGTTCTTTAATGGACAAAGAGACGTGATAACCCTGCTGCCTCCTGGGGTTGCTGTGAGGATTACATAAGCTACATGGAACAGAGTAGCGCCTCGCACAGAGTGAGGGGTTGGGACTTATTTGCTGCTGTTATTATTGCTGTCATATGTCATTCCAGCTTGCCTAGGAACCCTTTAAAAGCATGGAGAGTGCTTGTTATAATTTTATCTGTGTCACTAAGTTATAGTCTGCAATATGTAATTAAGGATTGGAGTGAATGTTGACTCATGCTTCAAAGTTGTTTATCCATGCTGTCTGGAAAACCCAACCATAGAAAAGTCAGTGCCCAATTGTTAATCTGAAGAACATCACTGTTTGTGAGCAGTACCAGGGAGGCACAGATGTACCTCTCAGAAGTTGTAAAAATTCATGCTTTCAAATTGTATTTTAAGTGTCCTGGGAGAGTTAGCGATTCAAGAGAGATATGCTGAATCTTTTGTGCCCTGAAGAATCCTACAGAAAAGTGAGTGGTGGCACTTACATATACCGGTCCCAGGAACCTAGGTTTTTGTTTGGGGTTTTCTTATAGTGCAGGACATCTGTAATTTTTCTGAACAGTATTTGGCAGGTTGTAGGCTTCGTATTAGAAGAGGCTAGATATACTCTCACCTCATCTTTGCTTAGATGTTTCTTTATGAAAATGTGCTAGGAGTGGGAAGTATCTTCAGTTCCCGTCTGCCCTAGATTTCTTTGAAGTATGTGTGCGTTTAGTTAGAGACATCAATTTGTGTCATTTGAGATGTTCTATCATCGAGATGCATTATTATTTGTTTAAATCACTGTGAAAAAGGCACAGATACTAATTTAATTTTGGAAGTTTACCAAAGCAATTCTGCTATATTAGGTCAGTTAAAAACTGTAACTTTCTTGCTAACTTTTTCTTTCAGATTTAAACCTAAGACCTAAATCTCTTCGTTTATTTCACTAACTTTATCCAGGCTGGTAAATATGGTACAATATCATGTAGTGTTCATCTTTGTTAGTAGGAAAATCTGCAAACATAGTTCTTTGGTTCTGCACATGAATGAATGATAGCGGGGCCACTGCCTCTCTTCTGTGTGATTAATCATAAACCGAGATGTCCATAGCCAAAATAAACAGAGACAGCACAATACATTTAATCCAGCCTCCATGGTGACCAAGGATACAGAAGTAGTGAACATAGAAACCTGCTTTCTTCTAGCATTTGTAAAAAATTGATTTCATTCTTTTGATGATTAGAGCATACCCTGATTCTTGAGTTTTTAAATAGTGTTTTAGGCTTAATCATTTTCAAGAGTGATATTGGATCATTCATTTAAGACTTTTATTTAAGCAAGAGAATGCTTAATTTCAGTAAAGAGTTGTATATTTGACTTTTTTTTTTTTTGGTGGGACTGGAGTTTGAACTCAGGGCCTCATGCTTGCTAGGCAGGTACTCTACCACTTGAGCCCCTCCCCCAGCCCTCTATTTGATTCTTTATTCAAATTGTTGTAAATAGATAGCTATGCATGTGTACCCCTAACTGTCGTGGTGTCTCTGAGATTTTACTTAGGGCATTATGGAGATGTTCCTTACCGATAGACTAATGCAGATGTTTACCAGGTGTCAGATAATTGCTTCCTTATAACTTTCTAGAAATGGAAGGCTACACCTACATTCTTAAAATAAAACTATAGCTAAGTTTTGATTCTCGTGGAAACGGTAATGGGTAGTACCAGTAATTAAAGTAGTGGTTCTGCCTTTTCTTGATAACAGTATTCTAGTGCACTTACTTATAGAGTTCTCAGGTAGGGTACAGGCTGCTGGGCTCAGGTTCCTACAACTGAGGTCCTCATTGTAGTGTGCAGAGAAGAGCCTCTTCTATGGTCAGCCTCAGGCGGTCCCATGAAGCTGCTTCACTGTCCTGAGGATGGAGACTAGGGCCCAGGGCTGGGGTTGGTGGTAGAGAAGGCGTAAGTAAGATGTCACCCATCTGTTTTGTGATGTATTGCACAAGTGTCTTCAAATTACCTCCAAAATCTTGGGTAATCTTAGCCCCGTTCCGTCATCCTGTGGGTTCAAGGCTCACAGGAAAGGGAAGAAAGTGCAGGAGATGATGGAGGACTGAGAAAGTGCTTGATCCTGTGTTGACCTTTTCCTAGAATCGCTTAGTGTGTGTAGGTACCCTCTTAGTGGCTGGCAATCAAAGTCAGCCTGTAGGTAGGTTTAATTTGGTTTCATAGTATATAAAACCTAATTAAGAACAGTTAACATTTCAAAAGCGAAAGAGATTTCACTTGAGAGAGATATTTGGACAGTCACCTGCATGCATTCAGCTTTCTTGCAGGGTGACTCACTGCTTGTCTAGAGCAGGGAGCCCCTGCCTTTCTGGCTGACCCTTGCTTGGGTTTGCAGCCCCGTGGGAGACCTTGGCTGACCCTGGTTTGTGGTGCACCTCCAAGTGTTAGTAAGTCTGACCCTTCCCTCTGCCTCCTGTGTCCTCCCAGTCTCCAAATCAGCACTGACAACAAACACCTGTTCATAAAAACAAGAAAAAAAATTGGAAGTGTGTTCACTAAAAACTCGACGTTTATAGATTCTTTTCACTGTTAATGTGTGTTTACCGTGTTCATGGAAAGAGCGTGCATATTCATTGCTGGGAACAGCAGTGTTTATTTTCACTCATTTCATAGCAGTGCGGCCAGGAGACAAACTCATCTTAAGCAGAGTACCTCCACCTTAAATAAACTATGTGTTCTTACGGTCTAAACTTTGCATAGTCTAGCTGGAAAATTTTCTCAAGTGAATTGAATTAATAAACAGTATTTTAAAAATCAAATCACATGTCTTTTTTAAGCTGTCATTTGTCTTCTCGTATGTCCAAAATACTGTAGTACTAACAGTGTGAAAAGCAGTTTTATTTGTAAGGGTTTCCTGTTGTATAAGAATTATAAAATACTTTTCTTTTCTTTTTTCACAAAATTCTGCCAGCGAGTTGAAAATGGTGACTTCAACTGGATTGTTCCAGGAAAATTCTTAGCGTTTAGTGGACCACACCCTAAAAGCAAAATTGAAAATGGTAGGTTTTTCTTCCTTTACCATCTAAAATTTTAGTTTAGTTTATTTTCCTTAATTGCTGAGTTTCTTCAAACAATCCTTTCCTTTGGCGATTTTCCAAAGACTATTTATTCGTAATTTAAAAAACTGAGTAGCAGTAACTAGAGTGTTAAACGCTAAACTTCCAGGAGGTGGAGCTGTAATCGCTGTTTTGCAACCAACAAGGACAAGTTATTAAAGAATTAGAGAAACAAAAGTGGTCAGACCCAGGAGCAGCTCGCTAAGTTCTCGAGTGGCTCTGAGATCTGTCTGGGTGTAGAGTTGTATGCATCGTGGTGTTTCCTGGGGAACACCGTGTTGAATAATGATGAGGATGAAGGTGACAGTAAGTCTCATTTTCCCCATGCTTCTATGTGCTAATTCTACTCTAGGTGCTCGCCACAGAATTATCTCAGGTAACGGTCACATAACTGTGAGATGTAACACTGTCATTTCCATTTTACAGAGGAGGGAACTGAGGCTTAGAGGTAGGGAGTTTTCCCAAGTCCCACAGTAGTAGGTGTTCCTGGTTCTTCAACTCAGACCCGAACTTCCAGACGTTGCACAACACGGATGTATTTAGTTCCATTGTGACAGTGAGTAACAGTTTTTGGGCCGACAGTAATTGAGCTGTATATATTTGCAGCATGTACATATAGCCATGAAACTAAAAAGCAAGGCACAAAGCATTTTGTGTGTCTTGAGTGACTATCGTGAGTTTTCCCATCAATACTTCTTTTCTACTTCCTCATTTTTTCATCTGTTAACATTGCCTTGGCAATAAGCAATGATAGAGATCAATGGCTTAAGATTGATTTATGGGGGAAGCACATAAAATTAAAAATTATCTATGAACATAACAGCTCCTATTTTGCTCTCTATCTGGTCATAAGAGGTAGAACACCAGTTTTCGGAGGGAATTTAATTTGAAACCCTTAGATTTGTCTAGATCTATTTTTCTTCTTCTTCTTCCTCCTCCTTCCTTTTCTTCCTTCTCCTCATCTTCCTTTCCTCCTCTTCCTTCTTCCTTTATCTTCCTTCTCATCCTTGTCATTATCATCATTTCTGTAATCTAGTTGCATTGCATATTGTTATCCACACATTTAGATTTTATCATTTGTTTGAATTTCCATAAAATATGCTTAGGTTTTCATATTTTTGACCTACCTTGTGAGGAATCCTGCCTGAATTATGTTTTTGTTCTTTTTCCCCCCGAAGACAAGCATTCTAGGTCTAGAGTGTGAAGGTGACAAACAGAAGTCAGAATTAGAATTTCTCAGTCATGAGTTTGCTAATGATCTCTTTTTGCTCTGGACAGTGATTTCTTAGCCTCTGTTGTGTCAGGCTGTTGGGAATAGCATGGGGAGGGCTTTCTGACAGTTCTTTCTAGTCAGGGTTGATGAAGCCTACCTTCTGTGCACAATTACCTGACATGGAGAGCTTGGTAGATGTGTGTTCCACTACTGGCTTCCTTGTTGGGCAAAGTTGAAAGAATTTTGCCATTTGGTATTCATGCATTTTCCCGAGTTTTCTCAAAGAGATGAGAAGTATAGAACTCACTTAAAATATTTTTATAGAGCCAATAAATGCTTATTTAAAAAAAGAAGAAAACACAGTTGAACCAATAAAGAGCATAAAAGTAACCTCTGATTCTACCCGTGTTCACTAGTTTTGTGAGCTGGAGGTAGATTACTGGTGGTTTTATTTTTTCCATCTGCTTCTCTGTTTATGTTTTAAATTGTGTACATCCTAACTCTGTTCATGTGTATTGACACTGTGTATGTCTGTGCATACACATACACTTATAAATTTTGTTTTTACAAAAATGGGATTGTAACATAATTACTCTTAGCTGCTCTTTTCACGTAACATATTGTAAAATGCCATGCATGTTGTTGTTTTCATGACCGTGGCATAATTTTGCTAATTTACTTTTGAACAAAATATAAATTGTTTATAGTTTTTCACTTTTTTAAAAATTGCTCTGCTTGACAAACATAGTCCTACATCGTTCTGCAGTTGAGGTTTCCTCTCTAAATTGTCAGAATCGTTAGGTAAAAGCATATTTTGTGGGTGTCTGGTGTTGGGGGTTGAGTATAATAATCCCACATTGCAATCAGGGGTGGGGATTATGCCACCACTTGCTGAACTGCCAGGCGTGGTGCTGACCTGCTGTAGTGACATCACTGATTTAATAATCCCCCCGCGAAGCAGGCGGTGGTTATTTTATGGAAGAGAAGAAGGAGATGGGGGAATTTCCCATTGCCCAGGGTCATACAGCCTGTACAACCAGCGTCTGGGTCAAATAGGTCTTTTTCATTCTGAATTTTGTGCTCTTTTTAATTTAATCCAGAGAAGATACGTGCTCACTAGAGAGAAACATACAAATAAAGAATAAAACTCTTGAAAATGTATAGAAGCAAGAAATAAGTAATCTCTGCACACTTTCTCCCCCAGTGCCTCTCCTGGGTCCTCTCCTATCGAGAACAATGTCTGAAAGTGCCACTTCTACAGTATTCATTAGCTTTTCTGATGTGCAGAACAACTTCATTTAAGGCTGCCATCGCTAAAATGTTGATATTACTCTGGAATCCCCATTCTAAGGTCTGGAGCTCACTAGAAGCGTCATCATAGTTTTTGTAGGTACTTTTTGAACTTCAAATAACTTTGTATTGGAATTAATAAATTTGATCCAATTATAGTGAGCTCTTTGGTCCATTCCTTTTTTAGTTTGTTTATTTTAAATGTTGAGAAAGCCTGTCTTTCCTGAGAAGGCCGAAGGTTATTTTAGGGATTTGTTACTAGGAAAGCTGAGATTTAAAAGCAATTAATCAATCTGGGCATCAGTGGCTCTCACCTGTAGTCCTGGCTATGTTTTTTGGAGGCTGAGATTGGGAGAATTGTGGTTTGAGGCTTGTAAGACCCCATCTCCAAAATAACCAGAGCAAAATGGACTGGATATGTTACTCAAGCCTGCTTTGCAAGCATTAAGCCCTGAGTTCAAACTCCAGTCCAAACAAACAAACAAACAAAAAAGAATTAATCCAATAGCTGTTGGTAGGATGTAGCAAAAGGAGGCCCTAAGTTCTTGGGATCAGGGCAGACTGCATTTTAATTTTTTAAAGATGTGTTTGTGTCGACAGAAACCAAGAGGCACTTTCAGCCATCTGATTCTCATTGCTTAATAGTGGGAAGAGAGGAGCCTTAATTTTTCTTATTGTTGTTTAATAATTTTAAATTGGTAATGAATGAAAACCATAGAATGAAACAGACATTTTGGATTTCAGATTAAAAAAAAAAATCTTTTAAGTGACAATGTTATTCTCACCTCCGTACACACACACACAACAAGGGGGAGTATTGTGAGACACAACCCCAACATCTGCCTGCTCGTTCAGTGAGAGAAGCCCGGCTCCTCGGGCCCCCACTGGCTGTGTGACCTCCACTGAGCTCTACAACTTCTCTGAGCATTGTGAGGGAAATACAAGGCCCATCACAGGCATCCAGTGAGGACTGGCGATTTGGCAGTGCTGAGCGCATAGAAAGCACTTCTTAGATGGCAGCCAGTATGGTTACATTTTTATCATCAGTTGTCATAACCGACAACTTTTATGTTTTCCTGTATTTGCCTGCCCTTTTTGCAGTTTTTGCTGTCAATAATGACTGGGCAGACTCGTTGTTTTGCTTTTCAAATGAGGCGTGGGGCTGGGAAGAGATGAATTTGGAAATTTCTCTTAGTTCTGAAATTGTTTCTTCAGGGTTGTGCCCGTGCCTGGCTCATGCCATCTAGTGGCCGGATGGAGTAAGGGTCGGAGGAGTGAATGGATCCATCAGCTCTTGGGTGGGCTGAAGAGATCCACACATTGCTAAAACCAGGTCCCCATGAAAAGCACCAAAGTACATTGATAACACTAACCAATTGCTGTTCAGAGGTCACAGGATATTTTGATTCTTTTTTGTTATAATTTATTTGAAACAATTTTATGGATTAAAGACAAATCCTGCTCGTCACCTCTAGGAATTATAGTTCCTGATATTCACAACAAGTAGAACCAAGTTGACTCTTACTGAGGTCAGCTCTGGCACAGCTGTTGGAATCTGACTTTCCGGGTTCACATCCCGGTTCTACTTACTCCCTGTGTGTTGGGGGGCAGTTAGCTTTCCAGGCCTTCGAAGTGAGTCATTGTGGAATTTAAATGTTATCCACGTGAGACCCTTAGTGTAGTGCCCGGGACACAGTCAGGGATGGATCGGCACCAGGTGTGATGTTGTCATTAGCATATCTCAGTGTTCTGTGACCACATTTTTAAAGTCTATCCAGTGTTTTCTCAAAAGAGCCTTTCTGTTAGTCTCAGAGGTATAGTAGCTAAACCCTCCATTTACTTCTGATGGAAACTCATGTGTGAAAACAGAGGGTCTTACAGCCTTGGTGGTGGAGAGAGGGGATAGACAGACATCAAACCAAGCAGACACCATGATGGAGGAGCCAGGGATGCCAGGAATCCAAAGACGGAGGCTCACATAGCCTGCCACAGCCAGGGAAGGTTCCCCACATGCTTGTAGTCCTGTCCTTCCCACTCCTCACACGGAAGACAAGCTCTTATGTCCTCATGGCAGCCGCGGTCCTTTCCCCCTTAGGCTATAAGTCTGTTGTTGGAGAGTGATTGGAGCGAATAAACCAACTAGGAAAACAGACTTGATCATTGCGAGTAGAAGACCCCGTGCTTCTCTCCATGTCTGCGTGAACACACAGAAGACCTTAAATGGGCTTTGCATTATCTATTTGCTCAAAAGTAGCATGCCTTTAAACACCATGTATCTGGGCCAGGATTAGTGAGATCTGACTTCCAATTCTGCTTCCATCTTCTGTGTGACCGTGGCCAAGCGGACCAGTGAGATCTCTTGTTTGTAACTAGGCTTGAGCATTACCCAAGTGTGTCTGCGGGATCCAGGCAGGAAAGTAGGAACCACACTAGGTGTTCCAGACAGAGGGAATTGAATACAAGGAGTTTGCTACATTAAAAAAAAGAGACTGAAAAGTAAAAAAGACAACAGAATATTACGGAGGAAACAGCTGATGGCTGGAGTGGGGCGAAAAGGAGCAAAATTAAAGTTAGGAGGACAGAGCAGTGCTGAGGAGGAGCTCTGACCTCTGGTGCTCTGACCTCTGAAGGGAAGGCCACACCGCTGCTGTTTGGATTTGGTTGAGCAGTAGAGGCCATGAGGCTGGGCTCCGGCCTCGGAGGTGAGAGCAGAAGGCTGGTTTTAGGAGGGCCAAATGAAGAGGGGTGAGGGAGAAAGATAGTGGGGGTGATCTAGCCAATGGACAATATAAGCCTACTTGGAATTCTCACTATGAATCCCCTCTGTGCAATGAATATCTCCTAATTAAAAAATGTTAAAATAGTTTTTAAAAATCTCAATATAGACACCCTCAACCCTTGGGGCTCTAGAAAAGCTTGCAGTGGCCAAAGTCTCTGCTGGGAACTTTGGCTGACTAGCCAAGGTTAGAGCTGCAACCCAGCTGTCTCTGTAACATACAGCATACTTGAATGGTGTGGACACACTAGATTTCTGGAGCCCACCCCAAAAAGAGCCTCTTAGCTTCTTTTAAAAAATTTTATTTGTATTTTAAACTGACAAAAATCACACACACACACATACACATATTTATGGTCTACAGTGGGATGCTTTAAATGACATATATATTGTAGAGTGGCTAAGTCAAGTTTGAAATCACCTCCCACTTATCATTATTGTTTTTGTGATGAGGACACTTACGGTGTGCTTTCAGTGACTTCGAAGTGTTCAGTTCATTGTTGTTAACTGCAGTCAGCACGTTTGTAGAACAGATCTCATGGACTTTTTCCCTCCTGTCTAGAGGAACCTTTGGTTTGAAGTCTACCATGTTCGTTGAGTGCTGCAGTAATGCCTTTGGGGGCTGGGGGAGTTTGTCCTCAGGATTTGAATCCTAGAGGTTGAGATTTTGAAGTTTTAGTTTAGTTTTGCCATGCTGGGGATTGAACCTAGGCCCTTGCAAATGCTATGCAAATGCTGTATCCCTTTTGTTTTTATTTTGTTTTTCCATGTAGGATTGCTACCTTTCCCTGGACTGGCAATCCTGCCTCCTGTGTAGCCGGGATTATAGGTGTGCACCACCACACCCGATTTAAGATTTTGAACTTTAGTAGTTGCTTATGATATTTTTGTGTGTGTATTTGCACAGACTGCTGCTTTTATGGGCTTGCTGTGACTTTTTACAGTCCATAAAACATACTTTCCTCCTATACTCTGTTGAGGTTGGCACACTTTTTGCTGAGGGTGTATGTTTTTGGGTTATGTCAGATGGGATGCGTGCTCTTGCTTACTGTTCCTTTTTCTCTTCAGGTTACCCTCTTCATGCCCCTGAAGCCTACTTCCCTTACTTCAAAAAGCATAATGTGACTGCAATCGTGAGACTGAACAAAAAGATTTACGAGGCGAAGCGCTTCACCGACGCGGGCTTCGAGCACCATGACCTCTTCTTCCTAGACGGCAGCACTCCCAGTGATAACATCGTGAGAAGGTTCCTGAACATCTGTGAGAACACAGAAGGGGCGATTGCCGTCCACTGCAAAGGTGAGCGCCAGGTCTCGGGAGCCACATAGTTCAAACCCAGCAGATAACGCAAAGCAAAACCAGCTCGTCTAAGGAAATGATGAGGTTTCCGAATGTCACAAAACTGGAACGTGAGCCATTTTAATGACCCCTTTCTGTGACAGGATTGCTTGGGTGTGGACAACTGGTGGCGCTGTGGCTTTCTGGATAGGGCAGTTTTTCTGACCTCAGCTGTTCAAAGCTCAGGCCATGCATCACAGTCTGGGGACATAAGAAAAGCTGTGTCCTTAGGCTGGACGAGTCTCCTTTAAGTAGGGAGCGTGTGCAGTGGCAAGTGTCACGAGTGTCCCATTCTTTTCTTTCAGAATTGCTTATCTCTTCCCTATCCTCATCCTCCAGTGTGACATCTGAGAGAAGGTGAGGTTCAGAGTGTAGGGAGTGTAGGGCTGTCAGATTGAGCAAATAAAAACACAGTTAAATTTAAGTGTGATGTAAACAGTGAATACTTTTTTTTTTGTAGTGTAAATATGTCCCAAATACTGTGTGGGATATCCAGTCTGTATTTTAACTGGAAATCCTGTGTCAGTTGCTCAGAAAATATGAATGGCCTTTGCTCTCAGCCTGGTGGTCCAGAGCTCAGATTCCACTCCACATTTCCAGGTGTGGCGGGAGAAGAGATTTTACTGGGTCTTTTCAGTGATGAGGAGTCTTGGTGGCCACTCACGTGCAGCTCCTCACGGTGCCACTGGGGGCCGCTGCTCTCGCTGTTTTGTGTCTGCCGAGGGTTTTTATGGCGTTTTTTGCTGATTGGCCAGTAGGTGTCGGGAATGGTGCTGTTCTCCTCCTGTGCTGCTGTTCTGCTTTATTCAGAGGAGTGTGGCTTTGGTTTTGACAGAAATTAAAACACATTTTGTAGGCCCTCGTTTCTATGTTTAAGATTTGAGTAGGTGGAAGCACTTTGCTGAGCATGTGAGCAAGGGAAGCTGTGTTTTCCCCAGAGACAGGGGAGGATGGAAGGGAACAGCACACGCCTCGACTTGGCCAGGGCCCTTGATGTCCCATCCGTCACTTTGGGTGCAGCTGGTCCCCTGCCCTCCCATTCCTCACAGGCTGGATCCTGGCTTGCAGGACATCCCCTCCCTGGCAGCCTGTGGGTGGTGGTTGGGTGCAAAAGTGTTCCTTGCTGTCACTTTCAGGTCACAGTGTGGTGGTGGGTAGTCGGTTTGTCCTGGGTGTGTTTCATTTGCACTCTAAGCTTTTCCCTCACCCCAATTTGTTCAAGGTTTCCCAGGCCCAAAGAACACCTGCAATTTCAAACGTCAGTAGAACTCTAACAGGAATAGAGCAGAAACAGAGCTTGACAGGAGATGGTCACATCTTCGCTTTCAAAGTTTATGTTTCTGTCATGAAAAAAATCAGTATTTTTTCTTGGGATGATTAACTAGCCAATTCTGTAACTATCAGGTCATGTGATTTACCCGTGGATTAATAATCCATATCTTGGGTTGACATATTCAAGGGAGAAGAAATGCAAAACTTTCATTAAAACCCAGTGTCTTTCCTGGGGCTGGCGGAGCAGCTCAAGTGGTAGAGCACCTGCCTAGGAAGTGTGAGGCTCTGGGTTCAAACCTCAGTGCTGCCAAAAACAAAACAAAAAACTGAGTAATCTTTCTTGATAGTATTCCAAGCCTAAGAAACTTTGGGAAAATCCTGCTCTGGTGTTAAACATTCTTGTTACAGGTGTTTTCTGTATAACCTTGACCTGTGAATGCTTACCTTTTAAGAAATATATTTCTATTTCAGAGATTTTTGCAACCTATTTGCAGAGGTTTTTACATTTTCACACCAGAAACTTTAGTATTAAGTACTTATATAGGAAGGCCACTTTTCTGTGTGGTGACATCTTTTTGCGAGTGTCATTTCATTTGCTTCCACTTATACACACATGCAGGCTTCTTTTACAAGGATTACACTTTTGGGTTAATTACAGCTGTATTGCTTTTAATAGCATACTTATCTACTTTAGGCCTGTTAATTATTTTAACATCTGCCCTAATTAAGTCAGCTTAATTTTCTGGGAATTCAAGCAGCACTCAGTATTTTAGCTGAACTAAAAGAAGGAGAATCTTACCCTGGGTCAAATGAACTTTGGTAGCTATGAAAATGTCACTCCTCAACATACAAAGTATTACATACAGATGCACACTAGAAACTGGTTTACTGGGACTGTGTGAGACCTTACAAGTCGGTGTGGGAATAGGTGGTCCGTTCTGTGGTTGATAAAAGGAATGGCTGGCTATGAACGCTTGGAAATTTCTAGCCCAAGTAACTAAAACACAGCAACATTGGGATATGTGGTTATTGATATTCCATATGGATCTCAGAAAATGACCAGAGCAGTAAAACAATTGGAGTTTGACTTGGTATAAATTGAACACTTTCAATTTCTTATTGCTGTGCCAGGGAGCCCTTTAATTACAGATGCTTTAAAATTTTTGTTCAAGTTTTTATAGAAACTTAGTGAAGTGTTCCTATTCTGTTCACTTGTGGTAAGAGCTATCTATTCAGTGCTAAGTAGGTTCTTTTTATAGATCAAAATTATAGACTCTTTTTTAAAAGAGGCAAAGCAACTTGAGTTTCAGAGAAATGTGAAAATTCTCTGGACCACCTCTCTGATTGAGTGGGACGAGGAGCCTGACTGAGGGCCCCAGGCAGCACCTTGCACAGAAGGCAGGTGTGAGAGCCTTCTGGGAAAGGTCACTGCTCTCCACAGTCCCGTCCCTCTGGCTGCCTCCTTCCCCAGGCCGCTCAGCTGTGTGTTCTCTACAGGGTTACCTGAAGCCTTGTCAGGTACCTGGGGAATGACAATTATAGGCTCCAGGTAAGACAGAAAGGCAAAGCACTCTTCTTCATATTAAAGGAAAAGTCCCCGGGAGACCATAATTAAACATCATTCTTTTGTTGATCTGAGGCAAAAGATACTTCAGATGCAAGGAGGACCCCCCCTCCATCTCATCCAGCAGATTTCTATCTGAAGCACAGGTTTAGACACAGTGTATAAAGAGATATGCAGTCTCTCCGTGACAGTAAAATTTCCTGGGGACAATTAGGAAAAAAAATAAAGAGGCTCCAAGGGAACCATATGTGCAAAAATGTTATGGAATGCTGATTGAAAGACATTCCCCTTTCTTCTGAAATGAGAGTGGGTTTTAAAACTGACATGTCAGAGGTTGATTTTTTCTTACTGAGCTGACCTTACATAATGGAGTGTATTATACCACTGGACGTCAGGTTTGTGAACTACTGTGGGTTTCAAGGTCCTGGGGTGATGAGGGAATTTATTTGACCCTCGGAACGAGAAAAGCCACAAGAGAAGTCTCTTAAACCAGAGTGAGGGCATTTGTTGTCTTGTCCTCGTTCCTCTCCTAAGACACTTTCAAGGCTGAAATGGACGTCGTGTTGGTCTCTTAGGTCAGAAGCACTGGCCATTTTTAGCTTTCCTGTGACCCAGTTGAAATGTTGCTCTGATTCATTTCTTCCTCCTCACTGCACATGCCAGCCCCCCTGGGCCACCATTGTTTTCCTGCCTGGGCCTCCCTTCTCGTCTCTCTGACCCCGTCTCTGACTTTCCCACTCCAGCTCCAGACCCACTTGCTTTTTTCCCCAATCACTTTCTTGTGTCCACGGAGAGGACTGCTTCGTTTTGCCCTTTCCCCTGGTGAAAGAAACATGGATTTTCTCATTATCGCATTGTGTGTGTATTAACTGTGGATGGATCGGTAACTGGAGTGGTGTGGCTTGTGGGCAGGGTTAGCTTCAGCCATTTTTAGGGTCTATTTGCTGTACTTGGCCTTTCTTCTGCTTCCCTCTCCTACAGCTGGTCTTGGAAGAACAGGCACGTTGATAGCCTGTTACGTCATGAAGCACTACAGGTTCACACATGCTGAAATCATTGCTTGGATCAGAATTTGCCGGCCAGGCTCCATCATCGGCCCCCAGCAGCACTTCCTGGAAGAGTAAGTATAATGTCCCTTGTCGCATCATGTCCAGCCTGCGGTTACAAAACGGCTGTGTTGTTAGAGAAGGCTGTGCCTCTCATAGGCTGTTATTGACACGACGGCTAATGCATTCTAACTTGGTACCTTTTATATCTCTTAAATCAGGTGAGAGAGAAGAAAATCACAGAGCCATCTCTGCCTACCTTTTTTCTGTCATTTTCTATGTGTGATCTGGCTACAGTGCAATTTTCTTATGTCATTCCACTTGGCACTTTTCATTCTTTTCTTTTGTTTGCATGTCTAAAAGCAGAATGAAAAGAAGAAAACATAAGTAAGGTCAGTCACTAATTTTGGCAAGACTGTTGCTCTGCTGATGGCTGACGGAGCTGCTTATTAGGCTGCACCTTCTGAATACACCCGGGACCTTCCCAGGGAAGCAAAAGAGGAGAACTGGCTTTCAGCCTGGCCCTCCCTCTGCTAGCGTTGTGCCGCTAGTTAGAAGGGTCCTTCTAAGCCCTTTGCTCTCATTTGTTCACGTTCTGTTCCAAACCCACCCCGCATAACCTGCAAGGATGCATCCTTTTTGAACCATCTGTTCCTCCTAAAAATATTAGCATTTACCATCAATTCACCTATCAAGGAAATGAGGTGATGAAATTACCACCAGGTGGTCTTAGCGCGGCTATAAGATGTTATCAATTAGTGATAGTTTATCTCAAAACTTCAATTTTTTTCTTCTCATTGGGAATGGCTCTGTTATTACTCTTTGCAAGTTGAAATCAGTTGAGGTTGGTAGTAATGAATTTTGTAGAAAGAGGCTCTAAGTGTGCTCTTAGCATCTGAAATGATTAAGAAGATTTGAACCTGCTGAGGAGTTGCTTACTTTACTTATAGACCTAGAGAAACAATTGATAAGAAAATAAACATTGGGCAGGGCAGAGTGGCTCAAGTCTGTAATCCCAGCTACATGGGAGGCTTAGGTAGAAGGGTCACAGTCTGAGGCCAGCCTCAGGCAGAAAAAAAAGCACAAGACCTTACTAAAAAAGAAATAGCACAGAAAAAAGCTAGAAGCATGGCTCAAGTGATAGAGAGCACTCAGTGCAAGGCCCTGAGTTCAAACCCAAGCACTGCTTCATTTTTAACTCATTTAACCCACCCTGAAATTATCATTTAGGAGAACATTCATTCAGGAGGCCTCTCTGAGTACTTGCCTTGCTCCAGGCACTCTGTGAGGTGCAGCTCACAGGTGAGGAGATGAGTGTCACCACTGGTCAGGGTCACCTTGCTTCTTCAAGGTGTCACATACCACAGGCCCCTGCTTCAAGCCTGCCCCTGCCTCTTCTCTCTGCCTTACCTGCAAATGATGTCAAAAGAAGTGAGGGATCCCAGCACCCACATTTGGGGTAGAAGCAAGGTTCTTTCCATGTGGAGGTGCTTAGTCTGTAAAACTTTGGGGACTTCCCTAGCTGTGACTCGTGCTTCAGCGCTTCAAGTCCTGTGAAAACCGGAGTGCAGGATTAACGCCAGTGTTAGTGTCAGCGAGTGTTTAGATTAGAGCCCTCCCGAGGGCAGGCCCCTTTTTGTCATTGCTCCTGTACCTTTTATACTTTGCAGTGTCTTTTACAGAACTTGCATGGAAAGGTGACTGCGTTGTCACGGACTTTTCACTTCTTTCAGGGGAGGGGTCCTTGGCTGGTTCTGCTAGGTATTGAGCTTGACTTTTTACTTTTTTATTCTCTCCTCTTTTGCATCATCTCTCGCTTTCTCCCCGTTCCACATCCATGGCTCAGTGTACCCCATGGGGGAAAACGTTGGTGACACTCATTCATAGGTTGATAGTTGTGTGCACACGGCATTCTTGGCTCTGGGGATTCAGCAGTGAACTTGGCACCCGAGGTCCTTGTGCTCAGGGTGCTTCTCTTCCTAGGTAGGTGGCTTTGTGTACAGGATGGTCTCTGATGGCCAGTGCTGTGAAGATGTGATAGAAATGGCGGGGGAGAGGCTTTTAGACAGCAGTGAGGAGAGATCCAGGTCAAGGAGGTCTCTGAGGAGTGCTGAGACCTAGATGGCCACAAGAAGCCAGTCCTGTTCAAATCTGAGTTGTGTCCCATGTAGGGGGCACGTGGAAGTCCTAGAAAGGACATGTTCTTACTGTTTTAAAGTTGAGAGAGAGGGCTAGTGTGGATGGAGCATAATAACCTGGAAGAGGGTGACACGAGAGGTAGGTACCTGTGTAACCTCCCCAGGATCAAGAAATAGAACATTCTTTGTAACCAGATGCAGTAGCTCATGCCTGTAATCCTACTACGTGGGAGGCTAAGATCAGTCCAGCCCAGGCAAAAAGTTAGTAAGACCCATTTCAACCAAAAGCTGGGTGTGGTGGTGTGAGCCTGTCATCCCAGCTATGGCAAGAAGCATAAACTAGGAAGACTGTGGCTCAGGCTGGTCTGGGCAAAAAGCGAGACCCTATCTCCAAAATAACCAGAGAAAAAAGGCCTAGGGTCATGGCTCAAGTGGTGGAGCACCTGCCTAGCAAATGCCAGGCCCTGAGTTCAAACCCTAGTATTGCCAAAAAAAAAAAGAAGAAGAAGAAAAGGGAAGAAATAGAACATTTCCAGAGGTCAGAATAACCACTGTTCTGACTTGTAGCTGTCACATTGTAGAGGAGCTGTGCCTGCTTTTGAACCTTATGTAGATGGAACCACACTGTGTCTAGCTTCTTTTGTTCCACATTCTCTTCATTGTTGTTGGTAGAAATAGCTTGTTCATTTTCATTGCTGTATAGCATTCCATTGCTTGAATTATGACATTTTAGTTCTCTTGAAGGGTTTTTAGGCTGTGCCCAGCTTTTGACTAGCTCATACCCTTCGGTGCACCCTCTGTTGGGTGTATACCTGTGAGTGGAACAGTTGGCTGTGTGTGTGTTCAGCGTTAGCAAGTATTATCCAGAATCTTCTGGGGATATGAAGACCCAAGGGATGAGCAGAAGTCTCTTGGTGCAGCATTTGCAGCGGGGAGAAGTGCATTCTCTGAGGTATCCAGGTGACCCCAGTGGGGTGTCAGATCACAGGGACTGACGTGCTGGGGTGGCTTGGTCATCACTGCTAAACTTTGACCGACATCTCTGGCACCCCACCTCTGGCAACCACAATTCTACTCTGCTTCTATGAGTTTGAGTTTTTAGATTCTACATTTGAGGAGATCAAAATAAGCTTTTGGCTTATTTTGCTAAAGAGGCAAATCCTCCAGACTCAACCATGTTGCAAACGACACCCCTTCCTTTTCTTTTTAAAAGACTGAAAAGTATTCCATTATGTAAGTGCCCCATTTTCTACCATCCAAGTGCTAACCAGGTCTGACCCTGCTTGGCTTCTGAGATCAAGGTCGAGTGAGCTCAGGTGGCATGGCTGGAGTCCATTCACCCACTGGTGGACACTTGGTCATTGCAAATTATACTGCACTAAACATGGGAGTGCAGCTGTCACTTCAACAGACCCAGTGGTGAGGTAGCTGGATCTTTTTCTTTAGTTGTTGTTTTGTTGTTGAGGAATGTCCACCCTGCCTTCCATAATGGCTACCCTAATTCATACCTCATGTGGATGATTTGGACGAGACCAGAGGGTTTCACAGTGAGCCCACGTGTCTGAAGGGAGAGTCAAGGAAGAGACCAGGAGTTAATGGCATCAGACCCGCAATCTGCTAGGGCTTTGTGAGGACATTTTTTATTTTCCATGGGATGATGAAACATCAGTGGAGGGTTTTGAGCAGAGGAATGATGTAATCACACACCTGTAAACTAAAATTTTTATTTTTGGATAATTAGCAATTAACATGTAGTTGCCAGAAATAATTCAGTGAATGGATTTTTCCCAAATGTTAACATCTTCCCAAATTATAGTGTAAGGTAACCAGGGTATTGACATTGGTGTAGACAAGATACAGCTCTATCACCACCAAGACCCCATGCTGCCTTTCCATGGCAAACTCACCTCCTCCTATTTGTGTCCTTAACTCCTGGCAACTACGAATTGCTCTCCCTTTGTCATTTCAAGGGTGTTATGTAGATGGGCTCACAGAGCATATCACCTTCAGGCTTGGTATTTTTCACAAAGGATAATTCTCTAGAGATTCATCCAGGTACTTGTGGGTATCAGTAGCTTGTTCCTTTTTGTGGCCGCGTAGCATTACTGAAGGGTATGCACAGTTTTGGGGTATTACCCGTGAGGATACTGTCAATGAAAGGTTTTAATGTGAGCGTAAGTTTTCATTTCCCCAGGATAAGTACCATTTAGATGTCTTCTTTCCATATAAATTTTGGAATCCTCTTATCTAAGTCTGCAAATAATCCCGATGGGATTTGATAGGAATATGTTACACCTGGATCAGTTTGGGGAGAGTTTGCCGTCACTATTGTTTAGTCTTCTGATCCATAAAGTGCAGTGTCTGTGTTTTTAGATCCTTTTTGTTTTCTTCCATTAGGGTTGTGTAGGTTTCAGGATATAAGTCCTGTTTTGTTAGGCTCACACCTAAGTATTTGTTTCTGAGAAATTTTGAATGGTATTTGCAGTTTTATTCCCTGTCTCTATGTTCATTATTAGTATACAGACAGACAGCTGCTTTTTAATATACTTATTTTATACCCCAAAACCTAGAAAGCATGTGTGTGTGTGTGTGTGTGTGTGTGTAGATTCTTGGGGATTTCTACGTATATAATTATGTAGTCCACAAATAGGATCATTTTCTTTCCTTTTCAACCTACATAGTTTTTATCTCTGTTTTATCCCTTGTTGCAGAAGCTAAAACTTTCCAGCATTGTGATGAATAACAGATTGGAGCAGACATCCTTGTCTTGCTCTTGCCTTTGGGACATCATCCAGGCTTTCCTCAGTAAGTGTGGTGCTAACCGGAGGTTTTCTGTAGGTGTCATTTAGCAGCCCGAGGAACTCCCTCGACTTCTATTTCTCTAAGAGTTTTATGAATGAATGCTGAATTTTGTCAAAGGTTTTTCTGTGCTGGTT